CCTTCAAATTTTTGGCGCTCTTTGAAATTTCGAAAGATTGACTATTGAGCAAAGAATATTCTTTTCGATGACTTCATCATGACGTTCTACAGTTAGTTATAATTTCCATTATAATGACAGAATGATTGCCCCCAACTATCTAATACCATCTAATTGAAGTATGCGCTGATGATGTTGCCTAGTAAGGCAATAAAAGTTTCGCAAATAACCCGTAAAACTCAAAGAACACAACTACATTAAGTGCGTAGCTTTTGTCGTAAACTTAGGTATAATCACAGTTAACATGTCTGTTAACAATGGATACTCTCCAAAAGATTTTTCTTAAAATTATAGCTATTTCATGTTCGTGTGAAGGGAAACATGAATATCTACTCAAAATATATCAAAAGATGTCTATCCTTATATCAATATACAATAACTCCGAGGTTGTATGAGGGAAGTTGTCCATGTATGTGTTAAATGGTATTTTTAGACGTTGACAACCATAATTTTGAAACTTTTTAAAACATAAAATGCTGGTCAAAAGCCAGAACAATCGTCTCATTGCATAATATGTGAGCCAAGAGAGACAACAACAAAAATTAAATTCCATTAGTTGTGAAAAGACACTATGCTTGTTAGACTGAATTCCTAGTTGATCGTGTTGAATTCACAAAAATGAATTAGCAATTGAAAGACATTATTATTATTATTACTCCCTTAGGTTCCTAGTAGAACGTAGGACATCAACAGCACATCTCCACGTCACGCTCTACTCTTCAGTCTTATTTAGTTGTCTCCACAACTGCAGGTATTATATTATTATTCCCTTTAATTCCTAGAAGAACATAGGGCTTCAGCTGCGTTCAGTTCTCTACCAACGTTTTCACCTGGCTCCAGCTCCACGTCTGCTCACATGCTTTCATCTCCTCTTCACATGACCTCCTCCAAGTCAGCCTTGGACTACCAACTCGTCGCTTCCATTCGGGTTCCACTCGAGTAATGGCTTGTCTAGTGATGACCAGTCCATCTTCACTTCTTCCTGCTTATTTGTGGCACAATAGGTTCCTGGTTAGTTCGCTTCCAGAGATCTCTAGTGCTGATCTGTTTTGGCCATCTGGCGAAGACAGCTGTTAATGAAGGTCTGAAGTTCGTTTGAGGTGCTCTTTATGACGCACCAAGTCTCTGATCCGTATAGGGAGTAGCACTGACTTCACATTGGAGTTGAAAATCCGAATGTTATTTTTGATGCTGAGTGCTGTTGACCTCCACACAGACTTAAGGGTAATGAAAGCCTGTCTTGCTTTGCCGATTCTGGCTTTGATATCCTCGTCAGTTCCACCTGTAGTTGAAACGACACTTCCCAGGTAGGTAAAGGAGGTTGTTTCTTTCAGGTTCCTTCCATTTATCCTGGCTGATTGTTGTCTGTTGCTGTTGGTGTTATCCAGGAATCTTCATCACCTCTTTTTTTATCTATGTTCACCTGAAGTCCTTCTTGTCTTTGATGCTTTTTCTGCCAACTTGTTGGTTTTCACTTGCATATATCTTCCAGTTTGTGGGAAATCAGACATATATCATCGGCGAAGTCCAGATCCTTCAAGGTTTTGTGTCGGTCCATTTTATGCCTGTCTCCTCATTACCCGCTGTCTGTCGCATTATCCAATATACTGCGATCAGGAAAATCATTGGGGATAGTAGGCAGCCTTGTCTTTCTCCGACTGCAGCTGAGCTGTCATCTATTCCTACATGTCACTGTCAGACGCCTAGCTCGTTGTTTCTCATTCGGGTTTGACTTGAGCAATGGCGTGGTGGATAAAATCTCCTCCACGTGCATATAAATTTAATTCATGGAAAATTCCTATTGTAACATATATGAAATCAAAACAAGTGATTCAGCGAAAAGACTCTGTTCAACAACGAATTTATCATCAAGCTGTACAATCGTAAATTTATGGTTTTTAAGAAATTATATCCGGGAGATAGGCACAGAACTATAAAAATTAGTTAGTTTTCCGTTCCATGTAAGTTTCCGGTGGATGGATCTTTTAAGTGGTCCGTATTTAGGTTTACTAAAGCACACATTGAGAAACGGAATACTTAGTTCAGATTCCTTTACTATATGAAGGATTACAGAGACTGAATACATCTGCGCTGGCCATTGACAACGATTTTGAGCCATGTCACCTATTATCTCCAGCCATTGATTCCTAGAGTCTCGAGGGCCCCAACCCGGGAGTCTGCATCTCCCTCCATACCTGACTCAGTTTAACTGTCAAGGATTTCATGGATTGATGAGGCCATGTTTTTGTTTGGCCACCACTGGCTCTTTTCCAACCTGCACCTATATCAGCTAGCAATGCCCGTCGGGGGAGGCGGTGGTTAGGCATGCGCAGCACTTGACCTAGCCATCTCAATCTATGTAACTTTATAGCCTCGTCGATTGATTTTCCCTCTTTGCCCAACACTCTACGCCTAACGTCAACATTACTTACCTTATTAAACCACCTAACGTGAGACAGAGATCGCAGACATCTATGATCGAAACCAGTCAACCTTTTCATGTCTTCAACGCGTATTGGCCATGTTTCAGAGCCATAGAGAAGGACGGAGCGAACTGTTGAGCAGTACACACGCCCCTTGGTTGATAACCGGACGTCACGCCTACGCCAGAGATGGTGTAAGTCAGCGAAAGCAGCTCGAGCTTTTCGGATCCGTGCTGAGATTTCATCGCCAATCAGTCCGTTGGTGCTAATACAACTTCCCAAATAGGTGAAGTGGTCAACATGTTCTATCACTTCACTCCCTATCACTAAGTTAGGAGTTGACGTGGTCCAGTTCTGTAGCGGCCAGCATCTTACATTTTACAGGAGCAGGCGAATCGCATGCCAAACATACGAAGATTGCTGCTCAAGGTGTTCAGAAGACTCTGCATTTTGTCATCATCCTCCCCTAACAGGACTATGTCATCTGCATATTCTAAGTCCATAAGACTATTCCCTGGTAACAAGTCGATTCCTAAGATTTTACAAATATATAATTTTTACAAATGAGGCATACTTTTGTTTTTAATTCCTAACGTTTCGCTATCCAGTGCTGCTAATAGCTTTATGAAAGTATTATTAAAGTAGAATTTTATAAATCTCAACTTAATCATCGTTGATCAGCTAAGGGTAATTTTTTGTGTTGTGAAGTGGGGTCAGTTGGTTAAGATAACACAAATGAAATATACAGGGTCCATTCTTGAAGTAACTGAACAATCTCTCTCCCAGCACCCAGAAACAGATTTCGTCGAGTTACCTTTACTAAACTGTCTAGTTCAGAGGAAAGAAAACGGACAATTTAATATATCTATGTTGGATCTATCTATTGGATCACATACTCCCCAGCTGTATAGCCTTCCAAAGATCCACAAAACTGGGACCCATCTTAGACATATCGAATTCTCCATATCATAAAATCGCAAAATGGATTACAGAGGTCCTTACGCCTGTAAAAGACTCATTATCGAGGCATTCTGTAAAAAGTTCAATTGATCGGACCGATATGCTAGACACCTTGAACATTAAGGAAAAGGTTATGTGGTCAATCGACATAGAATCTTTATCCCCTAATGTTCCTCTTCATGAAACTGTTGATTTCATTTGCAATTTCATCAAAAGCAATGAGATAAACTTACCTACTGCTGTGACTTACACCAGAGACATCATCTTAGTACTTACAGAAAACATCAGATTCACCTTTCAAGAAAAAGCATACAAACAAATCGATGGTGTTGCGATGAGGAGCCCTGCTGGACCGCTGTTGGCAGATATATTCATGTCGAAATTGGAGAAAAAAAAATGCAAGCTATGCTAGAAGAATTTATGCCATATAAACGTTATGTAGATGATACTCTTATTATTGGTAATAATAGTAAATCTATTGAAAACTTCATTACTCTATTTAATCACATTCATCCAAATATCCGAGTGACTTCCGAACTCGAACAGAATAACAAACTTGTTTTTATGGATATCTCAGTAATCAGGAGAGACGATGGAACAATTAGGCGACCTATTTATCCTAAACACAAGTGGAGTGGACAATATCTTCATTTCACCAGTTGTATTCCTATCCAGTATGAAATGTTTGTTTTCTGTAGCCCTCAAAATATGTACGACCGACACATTGATGGATGAGTTTCGACATATACATTCAGTTTTCTTAGCTGGTGGTTATCCAGAGGACTTCATGATTTATCACTTTAAGGAAAGACCACATCTTGGGAAGACAGCTTCTGTACCAAAAGAAAGCTATCTTTATTAACCTACCATTCTGTGGACTCTACTTCAAACTGTATCTACAAGTTCACCTGCAGTTGTTGCGGTGACACCCACCACATAGGTAGAACCAACAGAATGTTCCAATGTCGTCGTCGAAAAGAATACGTTCCAAAATGGTTACTAAATCATATAGAAAATCCCAATGCAATTAATCTGAACAGAAATCCGGCATCATCCATTGCAAAACACGTATTAATGTCAGGTCACAAAATAAATATTAATGACTGTTTCACAATTATTTCACATAACTCTAATTCAAGGTTGGTTATTAAAGGTGATGGAAGCACTTTGGGGGATTAATCACATACAGCCTAAACTGTGTGTACAAAAAACAACAGACTTCAATCTTCGCCTACCCTGGACTCCATGACCTATCTAAATATGATTGGTCATTAGTATGTACTTTGGTTTTTTTATTCAACTGAGTAATTGTCGTGATCTTTATTTTATTATTGTTAACCATGTTAGTTGTAAAGCGGTTGTAAAGAAACTACGAAATGACGATATCATCTCGCGAAAAGTGTCTTCTTAATGCCTTATTCAAATTCATCAAAGGGACTAATTGTTTCAATAAAGCTATTAGCATTAAATAGCGAAACGTCGGTAAAAACAACGACAATATCGTTTTGTTTTTCACTCATTCATTGGGAAATACAAGAAAATATTTATTATATAATGAATATCATATACCCAATGCCCAAATTTTTTCAAACTATTAAAAGTGAACTTGGTTTGGACAGATATATAATGATGATATCAGATTTATAAAACAACCAATAATACTATACAAAATAATGTACAGAACATGAATGTGTATTTATTCTTCCGGGATAATTTAACCACGCCTTTTTGACACTTTTTTCTGTTTTTGTCTTGACTTGCGTATATCTTTACGAATTTGTTTTGCCTTATTCGGTGTTGCTTGATGCTTCAATTGACTGAAATCCCGTCGAGCTCCACTATTCAACGAGTCAGCTGTATTACGCTTTTGACGTTTTTTCTGTCCACCATGACCATATTTATTATTTTTATAAACACGTTTATGATTAATTCTAAGAGGAGAAAAAAATGTTTTTACAAAAACAAAAACAAAGTGGATACTATCACTAAGCGTCTTTACATATACTAATGGGACATGCAGTGGGAGGGCGGAGAATGGGGTTCGAAAATCGCTCAACATTATTTAAAAACAGACCTAGAAAACATTAGATGACATTATTCTAAAGTGTACCGTTTTATTGAAGTGGACTAAATAAAGTAATTTGAAGATAATGTCATTTCACAATAACATATTTGCTGAAGCTTTTGGATCTAATTATTTAAATCAGCTAATCTGATGCTCACTAACGAATGGCTCTATTCAGGTAGTCAGTTACCTGGGTTCTAGTGGGAAGCCGTGACTAGTAGGGTACACAGCAGTTTGAAGGTGAGGCAGTAGCTCGTGGTCTTAATGGTCCGGGGTTCGAACCTTCTGGGATGAGTATGTGATGATGAAGAGTTTCGAACTAGGAGGAAACAGTTGGTTGTCCAGCACTCTTTGGTGGTATTGCAGTGGCTCTCTAATCGATGCCAGCTCATGATGGAATCCTTCGATAAATCAGTTAAAATTTAGCGATAGTAAATGACTTAATATGCTAGAAAACATACATAGTTGGAAACTCTTCAAACGGGTCAGATTAACATTATTTTATTATTGTTTCCTTGGGTTCCGAGAGGAACAGCACCTCGCCATTTCCTTCTACTCTCTGCAGTCCTCCTTGCAGGCTTCACTCACTGTTTTTCACTCGGATTCCACTGGAGTGATGGCCTGGCGCGCAACGTCACCGGACGGCCTTTTCAGTGTGTATCTGATCTAGCTCTGTTTTCTTCTACGACTGTTCAGCCTCTGAAGATGATTTCATCGATAAAGAAAATTTTCTTCGCTGAATTGTTTTTTATTTTTATGTTTTCATCACAGAGAAGTGCTTAAAGAGTCATAACTAACTGTGCAAATCCGATATTAAAAGGCTTTTTAATGTTCTAGGAGTTTTATGTACACTTAATTTTGCCTAAAACCTTAAAATAACCATTTTAAGCAGTTGTCGCGCACCAGGGTGAGCTCTCTGTCTGGATTACTGCATCCCTATTGGCTATTAATACTTCAAATGCATCACTGAATTACTGCATTTTCAAGGTCATTCTAATTGTATACATACGAAGTTCGTCTAGCATTTTGACTGTTGTTTGAGACAGTAAAAGCTTGCTTATCGACGTCCAGTCAATTCTTTTGTTTTTGCGTGCCGGCTGTATTATTGTTGTTGCTGACGTGCAACCAGGACAGATTAGCCAGGGTAACAAGTTGTGGCGAGAACTGTCTGCTAGCCAAATTCGGTAGATAGCAATTTACTTCAATGTTTACTTCCTAAATCTTGGTCATGAGAAAAAAACAGGAACAAAGACTAAGTCAACAACCAATCATAGCAGACTTTGCGTGGGCGGATGTGAATCGCAGATATATGGTCTGACCTTCAAAGAAACGGCAACAAAGAGACGACAGAATAACCTTCAGCAAGAAAACAACCAATCAGAAGACGTTGCTTCTCTGCTAACAGTAACGCTGATAATAATGTACATAAAAATCTATAAATACCTGTTGATTTTCTCAATACATGATCTGTTACCTGGCCCTTGTCTTCCGTCGTTACAAGGTTAGTATTCACTGACAGTCTGCTAGGTCTTAATTCCGGTCATAACAACGAGGTATACTTAATGTATACAGTCCCGTAACGCTATGAAGTCTCCCCTAACCAGAAGGGACAAGCGTCAGGCAACCCACTACCACCTATCCAAAGTCAATTTACATTTTATCATTAAAAAATAGTAAACCATTGGGGTTGGATCCCAGAAATATTAACAAACAAAATAACATTTTCGAAAGTGTACAACAGCACACTTACTTTCGCCAATTAGCATAATCCTTGGGAGTATGAAAATTTTTCTCAGTTGCCTTTTTATTCGACTTTTCATTTGGTTCATAATCTTTTTTGAAATCATTCAATATCTGTTCCAATCTCTCTTCACGATTAATACCTTTTAAAAAGAAAACGAGGATATGAAGGCATTTAATTATAGATCGACACAATTACATAAGGCGAAGTAAAATCTCTACAAGGAGTTACATTTTTTGTCTCATTCGATTGATGATAGCGGTCACCAGGGAGACAGAAGAAGAAGTGTCTTCAAAGTTATCTACCTCTCATTCTATCGAACATTTCGAGCGGAATTCGAACCAGCCTGTTAAACACATAGCCGAAGAAGCTATGGGAATTGATTCGACAGAACAATCCTAGTCTTTGTTCTGCATTTGTCTCTCCCTTGCTTGTTTAGGTAAATTCTAATTTAAAAGAAACCACCCACCTTTTCCTATTTTCCATTTCCTTCGTACTTTATGACATTTATTTGAAATCTGATTATCTGTCCACTTCAGTCTTAGCATTAAGTAGCCTGACCTAGATTTGACCTAATTTATTTATTTTTTTTATCGAATTGTCTACACATACACGCAATAGCATTATTCTCATAGCCACATGCATAAACCTTATTATCAATATTTTGTCATCATTATAATCATAGTTATTACTGAAGTCTGTTTCATCTTAGTTTGGGGTACACATCAGCAGTACGCGCACCCGCTGGGTTTCAAACTCAGAACCTTCCAGTTACAAGCCAAGCTCGTATACCATTCAGCAGCCACTGGGATCCGATTCAATGGCCTGTCAATGAATTTTAACCTCTACCAATTCATGATTTCAGCGCGACCACCAACCAATGTCATTGGTGGGAAATCCATCCTCACGACTTCTTACTAGAACTCGAATCACTAGGTGGCATCAGATTGATTTTCAAGAATTAGTTTGTGGGGATTCTATTTGTTTCAGGTTAGACTACGGATTCCTCGGCAGTACGCACCCACTTATTATTATTATTGTTACTATTATTTGATCCACAAACTCACCGCCATTGGTTAAAATATTTACATATAAAGCTATGCAAGTTAGAGTACAGCCTGAAGAAGATCTAATTCAGACCAATATTGTCCGCCTATATGTCTTGTACTAATATTGACAATTACATAAAACATGTTAATAGTGAAATTATTTACCAGTTAACAAATTGTAAATGCACGCTAGTAATAAGAAAGTATGATCAGATTTTGGGGTCCCCCAGAACCAACGGATCACAAATTCGAAATACACCTGTTAAGGTAATACCATCATTGGGTGTATTATTGTTTCCTTTGATTCCTAGAGGAACATATGACCTCAGTCGCACCTTTCCATTGCGTTTGGTACTCCGCCAACCTTTTCACCTGGCTCCATATCTGCCCATATGTTTTCATCTTCTCTACGCATGACCTCACCAACTCGCCACTCTTCCGTTCGGGTTCCACTCAAGCAATGGCCTGACGTGTGGTATCACTTGATGGTTTTCTCAGAGTACGGCCAGCTAATCCACCTCCATTTCTTCCTGCTTATTTGCTGCACAATCCGTTCCTGCTGTGTTGGTTCGCTCATTACTAGAGATCCCTCACTATTGCTGATGTTTTCTGGTCAACTGATCTTGAGTAATATTGAGCGAAGACAACTGTTAATGCAAGTCTGCAGTTTGCTTGAGGTGCGCTTGGTGACACGCCAAGTCTCTGATCCGTATAGTGAGTAACCCTGACTGCACATCGGATGTAGATGATGAGAATCATTTATATCTGTTATCATCTTAGATCCACTGACAGAGATTTTCAAAAATATCACATGTAATAGTGTGGTTATATGATACAGACAATGTGTCCCAATGGAATATTATTCTCACATGTTCTCACAGTTCAATGCTGTACTGACGACAGAATACTATGGTATATTTGAACACTCTATTTCATGTCGTTTAATGTAAACCAAAATCACACGCTCGGTGATTGGTCAAAGAATACAAACTGTAGATATATAAACAGCGGTTTGGCTTCCATCTCTTGCCTTCTCTTGTTAAAGTAGTACTACGCTCAGCTTTCGAAAAAAAAGCAATCTTTAGGCTGTAAGAGAATGACATTTAAACGGTGGGATAAAATCAATGGATAGTGGGGTCAAGCTTTTATTCCGAATCCACGGGATAATCAACACCTGTCAGTAATCCTTCGCAGAGAAGAAATCAAGGACTTCGTGTATCTGTGTGTGGATGAAGGTATGTATTCTAGTGTTTATGCGAAGATTAAAAGACTGTTTTGTCCAGAAGAAATCAACAAATCGGTATGATAACTAAATAAGTGGAGATTTCTAAGCTCCATCCTCTATGGAACCATTTACGGGCAAAAAAATGCTCAATTTTATCTCCTGTCCCTATAATATGTTTCGCAATAGAGGAGCCATATCTCCTGTTCTCACCATTAATGGGTTCTGAAGATTCTATTTGCTTCCGGAACCACTCAGGAATACGCTTTGAGGCCAGCCCTTACTTGCAGAGATCGATGAGTCCTCTCGATGTATGTGTCCACACGTGTATTCAAATTGGTAAATACAGTGGAATGTGACATCATTTTTTGCATGTTCTAAGGACTTAGATGGATATAACGGCTTCACATTATTAATTATTATGATCTTAGCTGTATACTGAATTGTCGTTTGGCAACAATAAAGAGCAGACACCAAGGTCAAACGACCTTGAGCTGACCAATCAGTTCGCTCAGGATTACAAATGGATACTTTTCCTAATCTCCGTTGCAAGATGCACTCTAACCCTAACCACAATCCTACCCTAAACTAAATCCTGAATCAGTATGAATCTTGCAACAGAGATTACGAAAAGCATTGATTTGCAATGCTGGGCGATCTGATTGGTTAGCTCAAGGTCGTTTGACTCCGGCGACCATTCTCTATTGACGCATGTTATTCTCATACAAAAATATGACCTGGATAATTTAAGTACAAACTATTTAACACGCAACAAATCAGTCATCAAACAAACGTAATTTAATTCAAAGGGGACTTAGCTTCTGATATTATGAAACGAAGGATATCACAGTCCCTGATAAGAGTATTCCCTGCTGCATCTCTGAGAATAGCTTTTACTAGTAGACCATTACTGTTCAATAACCTGAAGGACAAGATCCCGCTGTTGACCAACTCTATGTGCGTTTATCAATTCACCTGCTCGTGTGGAGCTAGGTATATCGGTCGTTTGACTCGAGTTTTGTCCAAGAGGGTGCAAAAACACTACCCTGCATGGCTACGAAGAGGTGGAAGTGAAGCAATAAGAGGCGTGATCACTGAACATCTGGTCGATAATGATCACCCTATCTCTATAGCCTCCGCCTTTAAAGTCATCTACAAGGCAAAGAGTAATTTACCTAAATCACTACATACCGGACTCATCTGTATTGCTGAAACCATCTTCGGCTATCGAAACAGAAAAGCCAGATTTCTGTGTACAGAAAACAGTTCGTTCAACCACTCCAACTTTCATGGTCTTAATCCCTCTATGCTAAAGTAGGGTAAATCCCTAATCATATTTTGGCTCTACCAATTTTACATTTTTGATTTTGTCTATTCAATTTGTATTCTCTTTCTTTATTACGTCAATTGTTATTATTACTATTCTCACTTTGAACTGTCCCCGGTATTATTTCACCTGTTCCACTTGTCATTCTAAATCAATTCTTTTTTACTACGTTAAATTTCTATCCTATCAAATTTCACGCAATATTTACTCTATTCGATTTGTGTAATCCTATAGCTGCACATCCTTTTTCAAGCAAGTTCTGTCCATCCTATGAATTATTCTATATATGATATTAATTTGTTTTACCACTTGACATTTAACTATGAGTATAATCACAAACATTTTAGTTTTAATTGCATTTCACACTATTAGTGTTATTTTATGCATTCACACCTGTGATTCTATTCCCTCACCGGATATAACTTATTAAAAACCATGTATATGCGATTGTACAGCTTGATGATAAATTCGTTGTTGAAAAGAGTCTCTTCGCTAAATCACTTGTTTCGATTTTCTATAATTTAAAATGATCCTAAAGCAGTCACCAATGGATACCAAGTGGCATTTCTATTCTCGATGATAATTTCTGTACCACACAACCTTGTCGCACTTCATTAGGTAAGAGTTTATGCTACACAACATTTTTGGAAAAATGCACACAAAGACGCAGTGAACACAAATGCAGTGAATGTCTGGAATTCATTGGCAGTACGCACACACTACTGAGTTTGGGACCCAGGACCTTCTGGTTACAAGGCCAGCAAGCTCATACACCATTCAGCCACTGAGACCTGATCCAGTGACACTAGCCCATGAATTCTAACTTCTACCAATTCCTGATGTTAGCGTTGTCTAACTGATATCAATCCATGGGCTAACCTGAAACAAATACAATCCCTATAAACTAATTCTTGAAAACAATGAATATTGTCATTATTATAATGAACAAAAATTCCAACTGTACTGAGGTATCACCAAAACGTTCCAGTTTCACTAGACAGCTCATACTGAATGCTTATAAATCAAGTGTTAAGCAAAGTGACAATTACGTCTTTTCTCTTTTTTTTACCGTTTCGCGACGATGTTTCAACTGCAGAACGCTCGAACCAACCATGCCTCATTTGGTTCGGGGTCCAATCCCCGGCAACCGATGCACTCCTAAAGCTTACTTCGTCAGTAATAAGGTCGGTACATAGGGAAGGTGTTGGGCATGAGGTTAGCAAGCCCCCATCCCACCACTGCTGCTACCGAAACTTCAAAGTTCAAGTTTGAAGCCGCATGTTCCAATCGAAACGCAAAGGAGATTAGTAGTGTTAGCGTTATTGCATTAGTATTTATAACTAATGGGGTAGATACATATATATATATATATATATATATATATATATATATATATATCGATGAATTGAAAAATAGATAAACAAATGAATAATTTTTAAACTATTAATCTACCTGTTTTCTTCCATGTACTTTTTACAGCTTCTGTTAATTTACGTTTCTCTTCTTTACGTGCTTGATTAACTTTCTGTTGAACTTGTTTGCCAAATTTACGTCTTTCTCTTATTTGTCTAGCTCGTTCACGTAAGGCCAACTTTTGTTTGGTTTCAACTAAGTACTCTTTAATCTAAATTAATCAGAGTAGTATATACAAAGGTGTACATCATATATATGTATATATGCAAGAAGAAAATCAAAGCAAAAGAAATGAAGTTAACTTGTAACAACAGAAGAAAAGGGCCAAGTAACAGATTGTTTATTGAGAAAATCAACAGATATTTATAGATTTTTGTGTACATTATTATCAGCGGAGAAGCAGCATTTTCTGCTTGATTGTTTTCTTGCTGAAGGTTATTCTGTCATCTCTCTGTGATCGTTGCTCAGAAAGTTAAGCCATATATCTGCGAATCGTATTTGCACACGTTAAGTCTGCTGTGATTGGTTGGTGAGTCCCTCAAGATTAAGCTTTGTTATTGTTTTTCTCATGACCTCGATCCAGGGTGTAACATTGACGTAAATTATTGTCTACAATTTTGGCTTGTTGGCAGTCAGCTCTCACCACAAACTAAAATTGATTTCAACGCTATACATCATGGTTATTCACTCAACCTCACCCAACCAACCAACAAGGTGAATTTTAAAGATTCACTTGAAGGGTGTCAGGAGATTCCTCAGCTAGTTGACGAGGACTCGCAAGTGTAGGTATAACATTGATTGTCAAGGCAGAAAAATAACTCCTTAACTGAATCCGAGTAGATAATCGTATAAGTGCATCCATCTGAACGGGTCCGTTAGAAGAAGGAAGGACGGCGTTACCCGTCGTTGTCTTTTCGTAGTCTCCGCCTACGCCCCAACAGACTGCAGTTCGAGTGAACTAAAGGGCTGCTTCTACCTAAAACTGTATAATTTGCTGAAAAAAGCAAAACGTTCAGATATAGTTCTTCTAGCAGGCAACTTTAATGCCCAAGTAGGGAAGTTGTGCCAAATTGTGAAGTGTGTAGATGATGCGTGTGGAGTTTCCTGCCGGTGAACCGACAACGGTGGTCGTCTTCCGCAGTTTTGCTCAGATAATCATTTGTTTGTTCCTAGTTAGCACTAACTTTAGGCACAAAGACATTGAGTAACCTGGCGACCTCCACCACCAAATAAACGCTGGACTCAGATAGACCACATAGCGATAGGCTATCGTTGGCAAGGGTCAGTAGAAGAGAATACTGCCGCTGCTTTTGGAACACATGTGTAGACTCCGATCAAGCCCTGGTTTGCGCACGTTTATACTTACGATTAAATGTCATAAATTGTTGGTAGCGAAGCTGTTGCACTCCCAACTAGATCAAAACATTGAGTACCGATTTAAGGAAGTAATAGCTAAACGAGTATCGAAGGTCAACAGCAAGACTCCTCCTGAGAAGGTCTGGCACAATATACAGTTAGCTGTAGTCACATTTGTAAAGACTGTTGATAACATAAAACCAAGAGTTAGTAAGTGCCAGGACCTGATGGAATGACTCCAGAGGTGTTTAAGGACAGTGGAGACAGTTTACTGTTTGCATTAACTGCGGTACTAGGCAGCGGCTGGGAATCAGAGGAAGTCCCATCAGGTTGGTGTAAGTCATTGATTATCCCGGTATACAAGATGGGAGACACGTCTTCCTCTGATAATCACAGGGGGATTAGCTTGACTAATATGGCATCTAAGGTTCTAGGCGTCCAACAATCGTCATATTTCTTGACCTAAAGGCGGTATTCGATTTCGTCGTCTGAGAGATACAATGGCGATGTTTGGGTGTGAAGGTAATGTTGAGAAAATACATTTCACTGATCAAGGCACTCAATCTACTCGAACTCATGAAGTCAGTGAGGTGAGAGCCTACGGGAAGTTGTCATCTGAAGTGGTGACAACCAGTGATGTCTTTCACGGGTCCCCACCAATACTGTCCCCAATTGTGTTTAACTTCATCATAGATGTACTAATGAACTTAACTCTAACTGACTTCAGCAACTCTGGGATCGCCTTTTTACTACCACCAGGGAACAATACTCTCGTTGACTTAGAATATGAGGATGATATAAGCCTCCCTCCTTCTGAACACCTTGAGGAGCAGCAATCTTAGAATGTTTGGTATACGATTCTCTCCTGGTGTCAAATGTAAGATGATCAGGCTACAGGAATGAACTACATCAACTCACTTCGAGCTTAAAGATAGACAGAAGTGAAGTGATGGTTGAACATGTTGACCACTTCACTTAATTTGTGAGAAGTTACATCAGCCAGCCTCGATGGGCCGATCGCTCAAGAAATCTCACCACGGATACAGAAGCCTCATTTGACCTATGCCATATGTCATCAGCCTTCACACAATAAGCGTAGGTCATAGCCTGGTATATGGGAAATCTCTTCGAAGTATCTAAGTTCAAACAACAAAACCACCCATTTAAATTCTGATTAATGTGAATAATACCTGACTTAGTTTGTGTTGTCTATGCATATCATACAATAATGCATAAATACACACACTACCGAAAATATTCACTGTCTGTCTGTTTCCGACATAGAACTTTGCACAAATGTGCGGAAGTTCAAGTCGCCACACTCCGTGTAGCACGCGAAGCAAGAGAAGAAAGTACAAGAAAAGCATAATAGAGACAGTGAGCAGAGGGGTGAGACAAAGGAGGAGTAATAACGAAGAACAAAACAGTTTCACTGGAGAAAATATTCACTAACCTTTGTCATATGACTGTCTGTTTTAACCATTTCTGCAAAATAATCAGATGGACGTTTAGTTGGTACATCTAAAGCATGCAACTGTGGGATAGCTTTCAATACTGCAGCTTGTGCTATGCGATAACTAAACAGACAGAGAAACAACGAAAACAAAAAAAAGCAAATGAACATAATGACAGTAGACTTCAAACAGAAGATAACATGAAATATAGCGCCACAACCATATACATGTTAATGCACCGGGCCATAAGCTACAAATACAGTGTGAGAATGATATGTTACTGACCTAACAAAACCATAATAGGTTGATTTTGTAGGGATTTTTGTTTGATTACATGGAGGATTTCATCATGAGCTGACATCAGTTAGAGAACCACTGGAAAACCTGGGAGTACCGGACAGTCAGCTGTTTCGTCCTAGTTTGGGACTCTTAATCAGTACGCACCCACCACCACCACGGTTCGAACCCACGACCTTCTGGTTACAAGGCGAGCGAGCTCGTAGACCATACAGCCACTGGGACCTAATCCAATGGTCAGTCGATGAATTCTAACTTCTGCCGATTCACGACATAGCGTGACCATTTCGCAATGTCTTCTTCGATGAGTTACTGCCCCATCTTCAACCTGCTGTACCCTACTGGTCACGGCTTCCCACTAGAACCCCAAGTTAACTACTTTAATACGGCAGTCGCTAGTGAGCATCAGATGAATTTTCAGGTATTGGTTGTGTAGGGATTTTTGCTTGATTGCATGGAGGACTGGCCCTATTCAGGCAGTTAACCTGGAGTTCTAGTGGGAAGCCGAGACCAGTAGGGTACAACAGGTTGAAGGCGAGACAGTAACTCATCGAAGAAGACATTGCGAAATGGTCGCTCTATGTCGTGAAAACCATACTAGGTAGAGCAGAAATCGAACCCACAACCCACACGGTGAAATTCAAATACTAACTTAGTCCACTGCCATACTTTAAGCAGACAGAACAAAGAAAATGTACTGAGAAGTCAAAGTTCCACAAAAATGTCAAAGATCTGCTTCCCTTAACTTATGCATATAGTTTTACACCAAACCACTGTCAATAATCTTACAAATGAAATGGTATGCAACCGTTTAATTCAATAGTAGAATTTGAGCATTAAGGTAGAGTGTAATTCCAAATCATATTAGGTCTATTTAATACAACACAGTGTGACACATTATTATGAATTGGATGACGATTCTACTATAAATTATTGCTTATAATTATATGAAGGTGTTCACACAACTTTATAACTTGATTTATAGAGCTTCACTCTTTTCTGTTTCCCCTAATACAAATTCTTCCCATGTCAACAGAACATAGAAACTTGGCTAGATTTAAAACAATAGACCGTGCTATGATACACAACTTGGGAAAACTCATCCATTACTGTCCAGGAACCGATTGTGAAACAAATAGGCAGAAAGAAATGGAGATGGATTGGCCATACGCTGAGGAAACCATCAAGTGACATCACTAGACAAGCCCTCGAGTGGAACCCGAAAGGGAGGCGGCGAGTTGGTCGTCAGTGCAAGGGTGACTTGGAGGAGGTCATGCGAGGAGGAGATGAAAGCATGTGGACAGACCTGGAGCAGGTTGAAAAAGTTGTCAGAAAACCGAATTCAATGGAGGTGCGCAGCTGAAGCCCTATGTTCCTCTAGGAACTAAAGGATACAATAATAATAATAATAATACTGTCCACACGATGGAATACTCCGGGAACAATAGAATTGGACGGAATAAAGATATTAAGCAAAATTAGTACAGTTGGGTGAATGGAAAGCTTAATCACTGAATGTGCTTATAGAATCAATACCAGGCACATGTATCAGGAATGATGCAACATCAATTCTGATGAGATGCAAAATTATCTAGAGGGGAAAAGGATGGAGTAGAGAAATCGTAATCAAGCTAGGAACTCCGGTGCATACCATATGATTATGGACGATGGGTTGTGCTCATTACGCCGACTATGTTAAACCCAACAAGCTGACCGACTAAGGAATATTTATTTAATTTTTTTGATTACAGCTTGATTCCACACTGTATTTTTGGTACAAGTATGGAATTTTCAGCATGGATATCGGTAGCCCAAATTTCGCAGGTCGACCATAGATATCAGGTGTGCGTCGGCAGGGGATCGAACCTCGGACCATGTGCATGGTCGGCGAGAGTCCTAACCACTGTGCCACCGTCGCACAATACGTAAAACTAAACAAAACACTAGGATCTTATGTAAATTTCTACGGGACTCATTGGAGTTACAGTCTATTGATCTGCTCCTGAAACTGCTAACAACTGAGTCACATATACTCAACTCATATCGACCCTGACACATACATACACCATAATAAGCCATCATGTTACGTTTGATTCGTAACCTGATACAGAAACGTGAATGACAATTACTCGATACAAGCAGTAGTTCGGCTTACATATGACAGTAACTCAATGAATTATACCACTGCCCAGAACAATCGTTTTACGAAGTTCTAGCAAATTAGCAACCTTGGTCACCATATGGCAATATCACTGAGTAGTGATCAATATAGTGCAAGTTGCATATACTAAGAATTGAGTTCTTTTGAAGGCTAGAATGAGTGCAATACTGTTAAGGTATTTTCATCACATAATCAGGAACTCACTTGTGTCACCTCATTCTGATGAGACGGAGTTGAAAAAGATCAGCTGACGAAAATATACACTCCGACTTATGGGATTCGGATGTAATACTAAATCAACTTAAATCCGCTACAACTCTTATAACATGAGGTTTTGCCAAACAGAAAATCAACTGAACAACTTATTGAACGATGCTGTACGTTGTTGTGAAAGGGATACAGGACCACAAATTTCGGCTCTCAATCTCATAGAATAAGTTACTTGCTCTATGTTAGGAGTTTAAGGGTGCTGTATGCCTAGTAGATAAGAGTGCATCAGCAGTAAATGATGTGGTTAGTTTATGTTAAAATATAACCTAGCACAAAAACTCCACTTTTTGATGTTAGCTATATTTTTGTTGTCTACAAAATTTAATAAACTATAATACAGTAGTGACATGTTCATCTAACTACATTTCCGTAAAATTAATCATCAAAAAGATGCAAGGTACAATTTGTTTTGGTTAGTAGTGTTTTCTAAGCTGAATGATTTAGTTGCGAAGCTTTTATTATCCTGCTAGACAACATCCTCAGGGCAAACTTCACACTGAAGTATCATTCACTTGAGCTTCATTACATCTGTAGCTTATTTCAGACCACAACTCTTAGCTGCAGGGTTTATTTGATACAACATGGAAATTACTTAAGCGTCACTGTGAACAGATGGATGCTAAGGTTTACGTTAGGCTTTTCACCAACAGAAAAAAATCCATTCATCCATAAATTTATTCACAGGAAAGTGATGTAATTCGAATAAATTAGAAAACGTTTCCAGTGTGAGTGATGTTACTTAAAGACATAAAACTTACAAATAATTCTCTCTTTTAAAGTCATCATCTGGATCTATCTTCTGCAAGTCATCTAGATCTAGATCTTTTGGGGCTGGGGCTGCGTCACAAACGACATCTAGTCGTTCAATCCATGGGAGATTATTCTTGACATAACTAAGAGTATTTGACAATGCTGGCTGTATAAAAACATGGAAAATGTTTTCAAACAAATGATTAGACAACTTGTAAGTGAAATATACAAATCGCAAGATCCATTAGACATCAACAAAAAAAATGATGAGCGAAAGTTGAACAAACGTACCTAGTGAGGATATTAATGTTCTTAGTAATGTTATTTATGGCAGATAAGTAAAAACTGATTTATATTCACTTCTAACTTCGATTATAAACACTTTTGAAGTATGCAAATGAAAACTACTCTACTTAATCATCTACTTAGTCATGATGCATTAATAGACAAACACCATTATCACAAACTAGCCGACTTTTCTTTCGAAGACAACCACTGACGATGATTAACAGTAGCAGCTGGGTCGGATGTTAACATGCAACGAGCAGAAACATTGTCGCACTGCTCTACAATGTCACAGACTTGTAGCCCACCACCCGAAAACAAATACACTACACCTCTCTTAGTTTCGTTTGAGAGCTTCTCTATCTTCCAGATATCAACACCAACTTGGGAGTGGTATTTACTGCCTTACTTAAATTTTGATAGCAGAACTCTACCTAACTAAGGTTTAGCACATAAATCCAGTCAGCCACACATAGAACTTTGTACGCAAAACATGCTTAAACTTAATACAATACACGACTTTGACACATAAAAACAAGAGGACTGTCTAAAAATTCATTTGAGAACTATGTTAACTTTGTCAAAATACTTAGAGGATGGTATTGTGTTGCAAACAAGCATAACACTGTGCTTATGTATGAGGAAAAACGCTTGAAAACAATACCTTGTTGTACACATGTTTGGGTGCCGGTGCAATTTCCTGATATAAGCCTGGGCAGGCCAGGATCTCCTGGATGTCCTACAATTGGTAAACAGCAAAAAAACGAAAAATGCTTACCTCTGATGACTCTGAATCTGACATTTGAAAACTATGATCCGTCTATAAATCTGTGATAAAACCTCCAAAGCTCTTTGTTTTTCAAACGAAAATTGGTGGATACGGCAAAGTTTAAGAATGGAGTCCCAAGAGATGCGAACGCACAATGACCTTGAGCCGACCAATCAGAAAATAGGAGGAATTTTGCATAAAATTTAACGTATATTTACAAAAAATGCATGAAAAAAAACATTAAACGGATTATATTTCTCTTATGTGACTTAAAAATACGTTCCAGTTGCGATGAAGAGTATCAGTTGCTAATTTGGACTAGTTTCTGTAGATGTAATCACCAAAGAGACTGAAGGTGTGCTGTTTTGGGAATGGTTCATCTCTCTTCTCTTGCTGTGTAGTCCTCTCCTCAGCCCTCGGTTTAGTTACTATGGTTCCAGTAAGACCATTGGCGACTACATACAAGGGAAATAAGGATTACAAACGAACTTGAAATACACGAAAAATCTATTCCTAATCGCTACCCTAACCCTAACCTAAACCCTAACCCAAACCCTAACCCTAACCCTAACCATAATCCTAAACCCTAACCCTAATTCTAACCCTAACCCTAAACCCTAACACTAACCCTAAACCTAACCCTAACCACAATACTCGCCTTAACCCCTATCCTAACCCTAACGAGATGTTAACACATTGTCCAAACAGTAATAAAAGTGTTATCTGGGTGAAACTTGCTCCTTATTTGATGAATAGGGTTGATATTTCAGCTATGATAATGACAGGAACCGTTAGCCAACGACTAGCATGCGTTCAAGGTCATTTGAGCGTTGAAGGTTTTGGGACCCTATTCTTAAACTTCGCCGTGGATACACCTGATCCAAGGGCCTAAGTGACAAATAGTGCTATAGAGTCGCGACCAACAGTAAGGGATTCTAAAGTCCTTGTTGCATGCAAAAGGGTAACGTAAAAACCGAAGTTCGAGCTTTAATGTTCAATATGAGTTCCACAAGGTAGCATGAAATAAGTTTCTGGAAGAACGCGCCTTCCACTTGATGATTAAGGTTGTGCTGTTCTGTGATTGTACTGTGTTTACTGTTTACTTTACACGATAAAATAATGCCAAAAAAGTAATCCAAGACAAACGTGAACTATATGACTGCAGTGCGACTAACTCTAAGTTTAACGAATAACGCTCTAAGGAGGATGAGCGCACCATTGGTCTTCAAAACTACAGGTCAGTTGCATCAGTGGTTAGTGTGATTTGATGAAAAGATATGGGAATAAGCGTGTACAACAGTGAGTGAAAGGTGTAAAGAGTTTTAACCAGATTTATTGGCTGATGATGGAGGACTCTGAGCCTACATTAGTCCTTTTTTAATAAATTTAGGTACTTACCTAAAGCCATCTTAAATCAGACAAATGAGGGCAATGAAACCACTTTTCCTGACTGTTAGTTCAAGGAGTTCATGACTGGGTGTGAGAACAGGTATTCTTTAGTGCTGTGGTTCTCTGTTAGCTTTTGAACTCTCATGCTATGTCCTATAAGGTGTCCCGACCTGGTGGGAAGGAAAACAGAAAAACAGCAAGTCCGCAGTCATTATTCAAAATTTTAAACGTAATGCAATCTTCACTTTGCTAGCGGCATGCCAAGGAGGTGAGAGTTAAGATGTCTAGTCTTTCTATGCATGGTAAATTGGTCCTGCTGAAAACCATACGTGTTGACCTTCTTTGAACTCTTTCTAGAATATATGAGTCCCCTTTAAGACAAAGGCTGATAGCCTGGATGCAGGTTTTCATTCTTGACCTCATTGGAAATGTAGATGAAAAGTGTTCACGTCTATGATCATTCTAGTAAACGGTCTGTTTACTGTCCATAAAGATAGGAAACTTCCAGCTTCCAACAGTGTGCTGTAGTTTTGAAGGGATTACTTATTATGGCGACTAGATCCGCATGAGTCTGGACTGATGGGATTGTTATATTCTCTGATTTGCACAACATGACACTTGCATGTCCAATGAGCATGGTTGTGCATTCCAACATGTTGATCACTAGGACCCATTCTTTTTAATACTCCGACAATTCTCTGATATCTTCTGAAGTGGACATGTAATTATGGCCCCTCAGATCCCCCCGAGTCTAAGTCATCCACAATGAGAACTATGGGGAGTATGGTGGGCGCTTGTAACTAACCGACATACAAGATAAATAAGAAGGGCCGGAGTACAGTGTCTTGTGGCACTCCATTGCGTACCGTTGTCCATTTGGAGACTTATGTTTTGATCTTCCCCCTCTGTCTTCTACCTTTGAGGAATTCTCGAATCCAATTTAGTAAGCTGCCTTTCATTGCCAAGCTTCTCAACTTCGTGAGTAGTCTTTTGTGAGGTATTTTGGTGTCCCTTTATTGCCGTGAGAAGGCTTGATAGACACGAGAGGTTACCTCAGAAGTCGTGCTGTGACTGAAAACGAGTTGTCGTTTTCCGTACATACCATGAGAGCATTCTCGGTGATTCTTTTCAATATCTTCAATAAGTTCCCGGTGAGACTAATGGGTTTGCTGTTTGAAGGACGTCGTCTTGATCCAACTCTGTGAATGGGGTCACTGTGACGTCTTTCCAGTCACTCGGTTATTCTCTATCCAAAAGAGATAGTTTCAGGGTCGTGTTCATCGGGCTGGTTGTGTGATCTATCAACTCCTCGAAGAGCCTCAGGTGAAGGCCATCAGGACCCTCTCTCTGAACCTCTACCCCCCTAACTGGCTTCTCTAGATAGTTGAATACGATTTCTTGGTCGACATCGATGCGGTCTATCCTATATTCCTCTGACGCTACCAGGACCTATGAAGTAGGGAGTGACGACTCCTGTATAAAGTCTTTGGAGTAGTTTACCATAGCTCGTGCTTTTTCATGGTTCTTTACGATTGTTAAAACAATTAGTCCCTTTGATAAATTTGAATAAGGCATAAAGAAGACAAATTTCTAGAGATGATATCATTTCGTAGTTTCTTTACAACCGCTTTACGATTGTGTCGTTGTCAGTAGTCGGGCTTCTGCTCCCACTGGATGTCTTATTCATAAGATTCAAATTCAAAGGAATTTTATAGGGCTGCGCCGTTGCATTTCGAGCCAGATTATTTTTGACACTCACCTTTGAATGACGGATGCTGGCAATAGCTTTGTCATTGAGGACAGCGTGCAGCCGTTTGGTCTCAGAAGCCTCAAGTGCGATAATAGAGTTCCAGCATCAATGCTTTCACCAGCATGACCCACGCATTTCACGATTTATCTCATGTGAGACAATGCTTCGGACGCTTAGGAACACGGCAAGCCAAGGTGAAGTTGCTTGAATTCGATGCATGCAGGTTCCACGGGAAATTTGGGATTATGCATCAGTTGTGTGACTCGGCCGCTGAAACGATAGAGTTCATATTGACGTTTTAGGCGCTTGGTCGACATTGGTTTTCTTCAGTGACGCTCCTGCAGACGTAAACTTGAGTGTTGTCACTTCTTCCTGGTTGTAGAAGATGTATGAGGTGCACATGCTCCGCACGGGAAAAATCAGGTACAGATTGAGGAAGAATGTGGGGAGTCACAGCGCGTGGGCTTTTTGACACATTGTAGTGGGCTGGTGAAATAGTAGATTCCAACAGTTTACGGAGAGAGGAGTCACCCGACGATGGCATTTTAAGGCTCACCAAGTCAGCTGTTGGAGTGCGGAATTCTGCGACTACGAGATTCCTACATCTGGACGTCCGTTGGCATATATTTTATATTAGAAAATCGTCTACATTGCAACCGGAACTGCGAAATACAACACCGAGGAAGATATCTTGTCCGATGAATTTTGGTCTGATAAGCGGCAGTTCGTACGATCCACTTTCATTTGCGAGAACTAGAACGCTACACAAGGTCGGACACTTCTGGAAGGAGATGACCACTCTCCTGTTTAATATGCCAGCCCCTTTGCAGCATTGTATTGCGAATGTTGTGTTTTCCATCCGGTCTCATTACCTTGGTTTTATTGCAAGTCAGAAAGTGATCGTTGCATTCTTTCCTTTTTGTCGCTATTCCTTATCCAGCCTGGTGCCCTTTCAATCACTTTTTCGAAACACAAACCAATACTCTTGCTACCACATTTTTAGAAAGACAGTATATAGTCGGACGGAATTGGCAACCAATGTGGACGTCCCGATAAACTTCAGCACAACAGAGGTCATCAACAAACTAGATACTAAAATAAGAGTGACGATCTACAATATACCAGATAATGAGAGGTTGGAAAAGGTTCAAAGTATCTTACTTAGGATGGCGAAAATGCCCAACTCCCAAACAAAGTGCCACAGACTGGAAAAGAGCCAGCGCGACCGATGTCGACCAATACGCCTTTAGTTTGAAAGATGGAGTCTAGGAAATTCTTCAATTCACAACGTACCCGATTGCAGGATACACACTACAAACAAAAGAAGTTGTAGCAGATAGGATAGTGATTGAAAGGCGTGTTTACAGTAACTTCACTAAACCCAATGGGAAAAGGGCAAGGCACCGTGTGTCACGAAAATAGAAAAACCCACGGCCAACACGGTAGAAATCATAGCTTCCCCCTCTCTATTCTCACAAAAGCAGCTCCACAGAACACGACAACAACTGAAAGACTAGTGAATTATAATCTTACTTCTAAATTAGCCCCTCCAGCCTCTACCGTGGGTCTAGATATGTCTCTGGATAGCCCTAAAACAGAATTCCATTGTTATAATTATTTGTAATAGTAGTATTTCGCAGTGACCGAATTACAGGAAATCAACCAACAACACAGAGAGGGATTAATTTAGGGGTTCGTATTTGGTGGAATTATGTTTCAATTTGTGTGATAAATACATTAAAAACAACAGTAAGTATTTAAAAAATACAGAGATAGAAACCTTAAATCACCACACCAATCCCTCTTCTAAATCGACAACATCCTCTCCTAGCAAAAACGTGAGAATTCAAGTGGAATTCGGTAACAAAATATGCTGAAATACACCACTTGTAACGAAAAATCCCCAACATTTTCAAACTCCTAAGAATAATCGACGCAGCAAGAAAAATATATTCAAAACTGTGCTAACAACCAAATTAAAACACAAATAAGACCATACGGTCCATTGATGATAACGACACTACTTGCTCGCATATTATACCAAGTCACACTAGTAGCTGGTGTAGTGGCACGCAAAATAATATGAGTGACAGCACTCAGACCCCAGCCACTAACCCCTCTGGGTCTTCAGAGTATGACACACAAACCAACTTTGGCAGAATACACCGCACAAGTCTACTGGGAATTAAACCACAGTGCAGCAATGCAGATAATCAAGCCTATGTGAGGACATTTAGAATTCTCCAAACAGTAGACAGATTAATAGGTCGTGGGCATCCCAAGGTACCAATGGTGATGACAATGCACTTCTACGTCTGACTCTTATACCCTCTTTTTCACCCTACATAGATATTTTAAGTTCTTTAAACGTGTAGTTACAACAAACTACAATTATAAATTTTAATATTATTGGAACTAGATGATAAACATTTCTACACAGGACAGTAATATTAGTTCACACATAATATAAAATTTAGCTTAACGGGACTAGTTAGTTAGTGCACAAAAATAACCATAGTTACTGGACAGAATATACAAGTATATATTTATTAATCACTCCTTAAGGACTCCTCTTGCTTTCTTTTGCTTTGTTGTTGTTTGTCTTCTTTTTCTCTCACCATTTCAGCTTCCATTTGACTTTTTCAATGAGAATGAATAATGTGGATATTTGACCATTTGCAATGACAAGTGATCTGCAAACATTATTGGTCCCGTATCTTTCAGTTGCCTAGTTAATAACGAATTAACTTTCCCCACGACGCAACCCGGATTACATTTGTGGAATATACTCTTATACCAATCGAAAAGTATCAATTTGTAATACGACGTCACGGTTGTAACTTATAACATAACTGATCGTATCTGTAAAAATAGCTTTCTTATTACCCAATTTGGAAATAAGTGAAAAATGAGATTCGGATTTGTACACACCTAAGTTATATTGTGGAATTACTTCAAGCTTTATTTTTTCCCAAGTATTTTTAATCCATCCGAAACATACTTGGGTTTTTTTGTTAATGCGAAGTCAATATTCCTATATTTCATGATGTGCTCCATTGAATGACTGGTTATCATATT